ACCCACTGAAGGCCATTGTTTCTGAGAGTCTACATAATTTAAGCCTTCTACATCCTGTCATTGCTGGAGATGTCAGAATAGTAAAAGCCAATCCCAGGCTGACCTGTTCCTGCAACCCTGTGGTTTTGTGGCTCTGCAGACTTTATAAAGCTGTCTGTCGGTGCCTGTGGTCCCCACAGTTGGGGCAGTTGGTGGTGAATGTCACCTCTCACATTTTGCCCCGAGGGACTGGAACCCAAAAGGTGTACGCATTTACAGAGGTTTACAAAGAGGGGTGGGGCAGGCCCCTGCTCAGCCTCTGCTGCACTAAGGCGCGTTCTTCCACCTGAGCCCCTAGCTGGCTGCCTCTCAGCTAGAATAGAAGTCGAGGACAGAAGCCAGAGCCCCGCTGTTGTTCTGGAGATTATTAGAAACAGCAAAGCCTTTCTTAGACCACTGAGCACATCACATCCTGGGTACATATAAGAGACTCAACAAATACTAGTGTAAATGGCTTAGGAATTATCCAAGTTCAAACAGTGAACATATTTATTATTAGAACAAGTTTCTCAGTCAACAGCTGTCCAACATTTTCATGTTGTAATCCTCACCCTGCCGCTCCATTCAACCCCCTGTGTACATGAGTACACATCTCATGAGACTGCACCCCAAACACATATGCGCACGCACATGTGAAAGAGGACTGATCACAAAGCTATAGCCTTGTCCCAAATCTGGGTCTTTTGGCATTGATAAGATTAGCCGGGCCACATTTGGAATAAACAGATATTTAACTATCCCCCTCTTGTAAATCACTAACTACTTTGTAACTAGGCTACTCTTAATATGAACAAAAGATAGTATATTCTTAAAAATTGTTAATTATAGACTATAACATCCGTAATTGTTACCACATAAAATAAACTTGGGCAAAGGGGATGTATTTTACCCCTTCCCAGGGTTAGGAGAGAGTAAGTGATGGGTATTTTGTTCTGATTCAGGTTCTCACTGGGGATGATTTTGTTCCCCCTTCTCCCCAGGGGACATTTAGCAATGTCTGGGCATTTTTGATTGTCGCTGCTGGCGTGGGCGGGTATTATTGTCATCTAGTAGGTAGTGCCCAGGGATGCGGATAAACATGCTACAGTGCACAGAACAGTCCCCCATGACAAAGAATTAGCCAGCCCAAAGCGTCAGTAGTGCTGGGAAGGAGAAACCCTGCTGTAAATTGTTAGGTTTATTTGCTGACCTTTACAGTGGATTAGCCTTTATGTAGTTAATTCAGAGGTGAAATTAACACCAGTGCCCCTAATCCGTCTTTCTATTCTGCAGTGGGCCTTGGCACCCTGACCAAGATTGGGATGCGCTCTGACCATGTGTGAAGGCCTGAATTCAGGCAGCTGACAGCAGCATTTGGACTGGGTTCTAGCAGTCACAGTGAAAGAAAATGAAGAGCTTTCATGATAATAAGTGCCTAAGGTTACGTGAGGGAGTGAAGAGTGAAAATGTGATGTGGAGCCCGCTGTTGGGAGTATGTTTTGAGACCAGCAATAGTGGCATCACCTGGGCACTTAATGGAAATGCAGACTCTCAGGCTCCCCTCAGACTGAGTCAAAATCTGCATTTCAGCACGATACCCACGTGATGTTTGTGCATCTGGAAGTTAGAGGCACTGGGTAAGCATTTTTTACTTTGGAGGAAAATATACCTTGGTTCAGATTGTGGCTCTGACTCTTAGCAGAGGTGTGACCTTGACCGTGTTACAGAACCTCACTGCACCTTAGTTATTTCGGCTGTAGAAAGGGGATAACATCACCTATCTCATGAGGTGGTTCTGACACCTCTCATGTGGTTGTGATGGTTTACTGTCTTTCAACAGCCAAGATGGTAAAAGAAGAAAACAAAACAAAAACAAAATAAAGGGAAAGGGCTCAGGTAGAAGACTTCAAGCTGCAGAGTAAGATTAAATAGGAATACTGACTAAAGTTCCTTTTGCAAAAGGGATTAATTTAGACTATATTGTGTTCAATAGTGAGTAATCCTAAGTATACAGGTTGTGAGGGGTGACTTGTCTTCTAAGTATTTTGCAAGAGAACATTTTTTAATCTTTGATTTAAATCAGAACAGGTTTGCATTTTCTTTAATTTTTTGATTATAAAAATGTTTATTATCACACATTTAGAAAATACAGGAAATACAAAGAAGAACGGCAAGCACACCAATCCCAGTACCTACCTATCTCTTCTTTTATTCAACAATTATTTATCAAGCATCTGCTGGGTGCCAGGGACTGCTTGGTGTTGGACAGACCCCCGTCGACAAGGTGACAAGGTTCTAGCCTTCTCAGAGCTTACAATGTTGAGTGACTAAATTTTGATGCGTTTCCTTCCAGTATTTTTTTCTGTGCCCTTAGTGAATATGTGATAGCAAACAATAAGAGCTAATGTTCACTGTATTACTGTGTGTTGGACCCTGTTTTAGGTGGTTTGTATGGTATGTATTAACTCAGTTCCTATAACACCACTATGAGGGAGGTGCTGTTATTCCCACTTAACAGATTGGGAAATTGAGGCACAAAGAGATTAAGCAACTTGCTAAAGATCACAAAATCCATAAATGCAGAGTCTCGATTAAAAACCAGGCATTAAAAACCCTATTAGTCACAGAACTGTACTGCCTCTCATTATACTTATAAAATTGAGATCATACAATATAGACAATTTTAATTCTTGCTTTTATATTGACCATTACACGTGAGCATCCTCCTGTAACGTGCATAAGCGGTCTATTTCTTACCTCCAAAAGAAGTAGAATTTTAATTCATTTGTTTAACAGGGTCATAATGAAATAAATAAAAATGTGATGATAAGCATTTAAATGCTTACAGAGATTATAAGGCATTCTTAATGGCTTATCATTTGTTTAAAGGTCCTGTACTTTCAAGAGGAGTTAAGATGGACAAGTTACATTAGGAAATTAAACATTTTGTAGCTTGTACTTGATTTTGTAGCAGGAAAACAAACCCAGCTTTAGATAAAGAGCAATGGTGATGACTGTTCTATAAATTAGTCATAACATGGAATTGTGTTGGAGATGTTGAATGGAAGAGATAGTGTATTGTCTTACGGGGTGGGGCGGTTGCGAGACTCAGGTTGCCTGTGCGGGGCTTTTCACGGCATGTGTTAAGAATGCACTGTGTCAGATGAGGTCCACTTGTGTGTGGGAACTTCGCTAGTTTCATAGTGAACCGGTGGGATGGTCTCTGTGCGTGTCCATAAGGTACTGGTACACTGTACCAGCAGCAGAGTGTCTGCAGTTGGGAAAGGCACAAATTCCTGAACTGTAAAGAGATTTCAACTAAGAAATAGAAATTTCAAAATTGATGGCATAGGAGACATTTGAATTGTAGGCATATCTAAATTGTAGGGGTATCTACAGAAAGCATGAACTTATTCATTGTCTCACCCTGGGCAAATTACTTGGCTTCTCTGAACCATAGTTTTCTCTTCAGGCTAATACTTGCCTTCTGGAGTTGGCATCAGGATGAAATGAGTCTGTCCATATAAAACACCTGGCATGGTGCCCAGCACTTGGTAGAGGATTTATTAATGGTCACAGTTACTCTTGGCTGTTAAGTAAGTTTTAATCTTTTTTAAAAACACCTGGCCTTATATACAACACAGTGGTTAAGAATGTACATAAAAGCCAGACTGCTTGGGTTCCAACCCTGGCTCTACGATTTTCCAGCTGTGTGGCATTGGGCAGGGCACGTGAACTCCTGTGCTTTAGTTTGCTTCTCTTTAAAACTGAATAGTTACAGTACCTACATGTTAGGGTGGTTGAGTGTTAAATAAAGTATTATATATAAAACCCTCAGAACAGTCTGGTATAGAGCACTGTATGAATGCTTGCTGTTGTTATCAATAATACACTCATTAACTCAGAAGAAGATAAAGTAGTATACCTTACAAAGTAGATATCTTTGAACATTTCCTCAGCTGATGCGACTTTTGCTTATTACTATTTGATGTATAATTTGTTTGATGTTTGTGGCTCAGGTGTAGTTTTTTCAATGCATATTGAAACTTGATTTTTAAATTTGGTGATACTATTGTGTAATATCTGAATAAGCAGAATTTTCTGATCAGACATTATGTTTAAATATAAATTTTTGTTGAAAAATGACCATTCTGGCTGTGGTATATATGTGTACAGTGGAATACTATTCAGTCATAAAAAAGAATGAATTTTTGCCATTTGCAGCAACACGGATGGACTTGGAGGGCATTATGCTAAGTGAAATAAGTCAGACAGAGAAAGACAAATACTGTATGATCTCACTTATGTAGAATCCAGAAAATACAACAAACAAGTGAATATAACAAAAGGGAAGCAGACGCACAGATAGAGAACAAACTAGTGGTTATCAGCGGGGAGGGGGAATGAGGGGGAAGAGGAATAGGGCTACAAACTATTATGTATAAAATAAGCTACAAGGATATATTATACAACACAGGGAGTGTAGCCGATATTTTATATTAACTATAAATGGAGTATAAGCTTTAAAAATGGTGAATCACACAGATTAGAAAACAAACTTACGGTTACCAAGGCAGGGAGGAAGATTGGGCTGAATTGGGAGGTTGGGATTGACATATATACACTAATATGTATAAAATAGATAACTAATGAGAACCTACTGTATAGCACAGGGAACTCTGCTCAATGCTCTGTGGTGACCTAAATGGGAAGGAGATCTAAAAAAGAGGGGATATATATATGTATAACTGATTCACTTTGCTGTAGAGCAGAAACTAACACAACACTGTAAAGCAACTATACTCCAATAAAAAATAAATTAATTTAAAAAAATTGTAAAAATTGTGAATCACTATATTATACACCTTAACTTATATAATATTGTACAGCAACTGCACTTAAAAAAAGAAAACAAAATAAAGAGGAAGAAAAAGGAAAAAAAAGAAAAATGACCATTCTGAAATGCCCTTTTTCCTCCCCAGATTATTCAGAGCTGGGAGAGCTTCCCCCACGATCTCCTCTAGAACCAGTTTGTGAAGATGGACCCTTTGGCCCTGTCCCAGAGGAAAAGAAAAGGACATCTCGTGAACTTCGAGAGCTGTGGCAAAAGGCCATTCTACAACAGATACTGCTCCTCAGGATGGAGAAGGAAAACCAGAAGCTGCAAGGTTGGTTTGCCACTTTTTATATTTAACAGGCCTGATGTTGATTTAATTTGTCCTGACTCTAAAGTGAAGCGTATCAGACATAAGCATGTTATTCTTTAAAAAAAAAAAAGGCAAGGTACTCTAACATACATACATACACACGTGCATATTAAATACCTGTTACTTTTCCAAAGCAAAGTTAGTACTTTTCACTTTCTAGAGATTTAATGATAATCTCGCCAATTATATTAAATTAAATCTTCTGAGAGACATCCTTCAAATGTAAGCTTTAACTCTCTGAAAAGTGTTTTTTGTTTTCTTCTTTCTCTCTCTCCCCCTGCTTTGTCCTCAACCATAGTCTTTGCCTGGTACTAGGTATGAACTGATCCCACCTAAATCATTAAAGTTCATAACCTCACTCTATGTGCGTTTTTAGTGAGTGGCAGGCAACCTGAAAAATAGAGAACCAAGACTTCAGGTTAACTGAGCTGTACCTGTACTGATAACAAGGTTTTATAAGGACACACTCATTTAATCCTGGTGACAACTCAAGAAGGCAGGTATAGCCTGAAGAGGAAACTAATGCTCAGGGAAGCCCAGGGTTATGTTAGTGTCAAAATAAGCCATGAACTTTGAAAGTTTAGATTCTGTTCATTTCCTGTTTCCATAGTCATTTGAACGAATAAATATTATTTGCAAAGTAGCTAAGGAGCCGAGTTGTATGTACCCTGGGTGGTATACTGCAAAGAGCACGGGTCTTGGAGTGCAGAGAGCTGCCTGGATATAAAATAAGGAGGATTTTGGTTGGGAAATCCGAACATACTCTTTAAAAGGGAGGCTACACAAGTAGTACACGGTGGCCCTGTCCAGAGCGATTTTGGAATTAACCTCATCCTTGATTGTAGAGCTTCATTTTTTATTGTGATGTTTGTATAGAGCTGAAAGTTAAGACACCAAATCTGGTGAATAAGGTTCATTGTCCATGTAAATATGTCATCTTTGACCGAAAACAAGAGTCAAGTACAAAGTAATAAGACCTTTTGATAAGAGTGTAGTTGAGCGGTTGGAATTGTCTACTTATGGGTGTAGTGGGCTCTCCAGTACCCAGTATTGAAGCTGAGAGAGACAGCTAATCCCATGAGGCTGCTATGGAAAGGGATGCCATGGTGAGGGGAGTTTAGAGCAGTGAATGCTAAATTTTCTTCCAAGTCTGTGTTTCTACCATTTTCTTGTATGTTCTTGAAGGTGATTCTAAAAGCAGATGTCTAAAAGAGATTTAATAGTGATGGCATCACTGAGTGTTCCATCGACCAAATGACAGCTTTGGAGCACAGCGCTTATAATCATGTGTATGTTGGTGGGGGTTTTTGTTGAAAAGTAAAAAGGCACTTATATTCATCATGTAGGTCATAAACCTTAATGCTTTCCCTGGCCCATCTTCTTGCAGATGGCAGCTATGGAAAATCAGGACGTAGTTGTAAAATGGGAAGGATGCTGGCTGGCTTCTTGGGAGTGTTGGGAGGAATCGTGACTGTGACTGATGAGACAAGATCAGATTGCCACAGTGGCAAAGCTTTTGTAAAGCCATGTAAATGGTGACCAGGCAGACTAGAATGGGCAGGGAAGCGTTTCCTAAGGTACCTAGAACACCTTGCCCTTGTTCACTAGCCCTTGCCGGCATCCTCATTTGCTGCTTCCTTGTTTCATCCAGCAGAGTTCTGTCCTGTGTGGTCTCTTATTTTTACTGTTTGAATTTATTCCTCTCCTTAGCTCTGTAAAGTCCAACGTATGCTTATCTTGGTGGTGAAAGCATAATAAACTTGCTAAATATCATTTAGGAAGCATTGTGTCAGTGTGTGCAGTACCTGTATTGCTGAGAAAACTAATCAACAATAAGAGCCTGATCATGAATGGCCTAAAAACATGTAGTAAGTTTTGTTGGGGTGGCATGGGGGGCACAGAATCATTAAATACAGAGGCAAGATTTGACAAGAACCAACCAGGAGTGCACCAGAGAGGCAGTCATTTTATCGCTTTTTTTTTTTTTTTTCAGTTACTTTTAAAGGAAGGTTAAATTGCAGCTGGAAGTGGTGCTTGCAGTTGATCAAGAATTCAGGCTGAATTGCATGCATTTTGGGAAAGAAATGAGAGGAACATATAGGAAGAGATTCTTCCTATGGTTAAGCCTTTTTCCTGGCTTTTGAATATATGGATCAAATATTTATTACTGTTCCGGGAGCACTGCATTCAAGAAAGAATCAAACCACGTCATCTAAATCTGTTTCACTTCATTGTAGACCATTGGAAGCTGAATTGTGATTTCCTCAAAAGTTAAACAGCTAATTTTCAGTGGTGTTGGGACTGAAATGCATGGCCTCTCTCCCCGACCCTCAGGCCTCTGCAGCACCCTCTGCAAGGCCATTTCACCCGTTATAAATGATGATGGAGCAGCCTGACGCAGGACAGCAGGGTGACTCACCACAACCATGGGTTTTGGTCAGCACTATGCTGCTTATTGGACTGAGTCATATAATTTAATGTTGTAGACAGTACATCGGCATAATGATAACACAGTGAATTTTGAGTTTTAATTGATTATCATTGAAGATATTTTTAAAAGATTTTCCTAGTTAAACAAGTACTACACGTTGGTTATAAAAAAAAAATTAGATATTGAGTGCAGTTTTTCTAAAATCTCTACAAGTTTGGGCGTCATTTAATTACTGAGACTCCCAGCCTCTTAGCCTTCCTTCCCTTTCTAAGTTTTCAGGAGATGGTGGCAGTTGGAAGAGCATTTTGTCCGTGAAGGCAGTTGCTAATAGAGCAGAACTGGGACAGGCACCCACAGCACACCCTGTGCGGTGACATAATCAGACCTGAACATTATTAGTCTGCAGTCCAGGTTGTAGCTCACATCCACATTCAATGGCGATTAGATGACTCTTTTGCAAAGTTACATTTTGATCTCATTTAGTCCTGGTTTCTCCTAGCCTCAGAAACTCTTAAACATGGTTTGCAGACACTTATTTAATAAAAGAGTTTGGTCTTGTATCTCAAGTTCTTGCCTTACAGCCTTGATGTTTGTTGTGGGGTTGCACCATCTGCCTTGCTTGATAAGGCATTTTGGAGGCCACTGGTTTAGGGAGCAGTGTTGTCAGGATACTGAAACGGCAGGCTGTTGCTTGGGCCAACAGCAAAATACATAGCTTAATAAGTCTTTTCAGCTGCATTTTCTGGCCAGATATTTCTGTTCTGTTGACTTCAGAGGAGGTTCCTCTTGTTGCTTTCTGGGCTCTTTAGTATCCAGGCGTGCTCACAGCAGAATTCACTGCCAGAGAAATGTACATTTGGCCCCAAGAGCCTTGTACTGCTTGCAGTCACTGTTTGGCAGGGCTGGCCCTGAACCTTATGTGCCACAAGGGTTAGCTCAGCTCTAATGGCATCTACTATGTGTAGATGAGAAGCTGAGAGAAATTGAGGGTTGACATTTTTAAAAAATTTGAACTCCACATACACGCAGGGAATTATTAAGCAGGACCTTGAAAATGTGTTCTTCAAAGTAAGAAGGAAAAGAATGAAGACAGAAGATGAAAAATCACAGAAGATGAGAAGGAGGCAGCAGTAGGCCTAGAGTCTCCTGGCCACCCACCAGCTAGTAAATCATCTTGGGCAAGTCCCTTGCTCACTTTGAACTTCAGTTTTTGTGTCCATGAAGTGAGAGGCTGGACGAGGGATCTCTGCAGCCCTTTTCAGCGCCATCTTTTGATGCGTTTGTACTCTTAAAGGTGGTAACTGGGTCAGTTAAGTACAGAAAACATGCATAAGATGACTAAGATCTTACTGTCAGGTTAGCATTAGCCAGATTCTTTGAGTTATTATCATTTGCTCAATTTCTAATGGGGAAAAAGAAAATATTTCATGTTATCAGCACTTGGTTTGTAAAGCAACATTATTTCGATTTTTTTTTTTGCTTTTATATTTTTGGTAATTTGTGGAGCACTTGCTAATTAGCAGACATCTTGTAGATGGTTAGTATATTTCATCTCACTTAATCCTCACAGGAGCAACTCAGTGAAATAGCTGTAATTCCTATTTAAAAAATAATCCAGGGTGCAAAAATCCTGCACCCAGCACATCCTGATTCTGCGGCCCTGGACAAAGTAATGAACCTGCTCAGCCTCGGTCTCCTCCAGAATAAAAGTTGGGGCGGGGGAGTGTGGATCTGTGGGATGGGGGGAGAGCAGATGGTGCGAGGTGTGCACCGACTTAGTGTCTCTGGGACTAAGAACAACTCTTCGCCGATAAACTTAACAGCTTAGATGAAATGGACAAACTTATTGGAAGGTGCAATTTATCACAACTGAAATAAGAAGGAAAAGAAGTCTGAATGGCCCTATATCTGTCAAAGAGATAAAATTTGTATTGAGACTCTTTCACACAAAGAAAAGTCTAGGTCCAGATAGCTCCACTGGATTCTATCAAACATTTAAGGCCCCTAATTGATACCTGCCTAGTCTCAGAAAATGTGTATAATTAATCACAGCAAGTTCTGCAGTGTGGCGGAGAAAGGCAAGGGGCCCAGGCCCACTCCGCCTCCTGCTTGGGCCTTGGGGGAGGGGCTCAGTCTTCTCATCCAAAGATACCTGCCTCACAGTGTCCTGAAGATTAGAAAAATGCTACAGATGAACCTATTTGCAGGGCAGGACTAGAGACGCAGACGTAGGAAACAGATGCGTGGACACGGGGCGGGGGAAGGGAGTTGGGATGAATTGGGAGATTAGGATTGACATATATACACTACCATGCGTAAAATAGCTAGTGGGAACCTGCTGTGTAACACAGGGAGCTCAGCTCGGTGCTCTGTGATGACCTAGGTGGGTGGGATGGGGGGTGAGGTGGGAGGGAGGTCTAAGAGGGAGGGATATGTGTATACATATAGCTGATTCACTTTGTTGTACGGCAGAAACTAACACAACGTTGTAAAGCAACTGTACCCCAATAAAAAAAGAAAAGAAAAGAGA